GAGAAAAGATTAGAGGTGTACGAATCCACTTAATCTATGACTTAATAGAGTCCACTTGAAATCGAGTCCGCTTGACATGAAGTTTGGCTGTTAATTTCAGAACACATTGAAAACTTGGATTCAAGGTTTACATCTCCCAAAAATAATAACGATCATTCATAGCTAGGCCTCAGCTAAAAGTTAAGCGTTGACTCCCAAAAGTTTGAAGCGAGCTGTTGAGTTGAGGACCATAGCGAATTTTAAAACAAATAAGCCGTTGAAAATTCAAGATTTTTAGGTGGAAGAAAAAGTAGATAATTCCATAAAGCACATTCCGAGGCTCCCGAAGGTTTTTGGTATCAAGGGGTCCTTACGGTTCCTTCCTTGAAAACGGCGCATCTTTACTACAATGATTATTACTGTGTAAGTGATTCTTTTCAGGTCAAATCATTTCAATCCCTGAAAGAAATTTAAACTTCTGGGGAGACTCTCCACCAACCCCTCCCCAAAGCCAACATACAATGACATAAACACCACCCAATTTCTCACTCAGGGCAAAATGTTAGCTTAGGGGAGGTAGAATGTTTAGTTAAGGTAAAAAAAAGCTCTGCAAAAACCGTGTACGATCAATCTAGCTCAACGTCGGATCCAAACAGATCGTGATCAGTCCTGAATAGATCAAATTGAAAACGTTACAGTCAAGAGGACTTTAGCAGGGACTGATTCGATCAAACAACGTTAAATAGAGTTGAGTTGCGATATTTCGACTGGCCAATACCAATCTTCATCAGGTTTATTGAGATATCACGAATTTACAGAAATATATATGAAGTAAAATAATGACCGGAAATTACATAATATATGACGTGGTATGGTGTGGCTACGTGAAAAGACAAGATAACAAAAAAATAAAAGATATACTATATATAATTACAGCAAGAGAGAATGATCTCATTCTCTCTTGGTTACAGCTCATCACGTTTATTGGTGCCCAGAGGCTCAATTTTCTTAGCTTAATGGATAAGGTGGGCTTCACGTGCTTTCCTGAAAGAATCACGCGCATTTTTAAGTTTTTTAATAGAAGGCCTAGATTGATCCTTCAAAAAAGTGACCATTGCAAACGTAAGTTTCTACTCTGAGTTGTATTTGCGTGGTACTGTTATTTCGGTGATGTATTACTCTACATGGAGCTTCTGACCTTGCACTGAGAATAAAACAGTTAAGTGTGCTTTAAATTGCCCTGAAGACTCACTGAGTTGCGCAGAAGATTCAGAGAAAACTTGACATTTTATCGGGGAGGACTTATTTTGGTGATTTTTACAAGTATAGCATCAAAACGTGAAAAAAAATTAGCGCAAATTTTTCAACTTTTCCATCCTTACCATAACAAGAAACAGTTTAAATGCCTAAAAATAGTCTTAAATAACAAAACTGGGCCATTACTTTTTGGAATGCAATGGCGCGTGCCGAATGCAACTGATCGATGTGGAGACACGTGATAGCTTTTTTTTAGAAAATAACCGCAAGTCGCGTGACAATTGGCAGTATAAGCATGTGCTGCGACTGCTTATTACGCTTTACAAGGGGGTTCTAAGTTTAGGGGTTCGTTTTCTTAATGAAATTCTAAAACATACTCATTGAAACCAAAGCCGTTCGCTTCGTTCCCGATAGCTATGGTCAGGATTATTATATTGTGCAAAGACATTCTTAGTTTTGAATCTTTCTCATCAAAAATGTGACCATTCAAGTGAAAAATACAGAGCAGAACTTTCCTGGTGCAAGAATTTTAATTTTGCTGTTTTATGGTATAAAAAGAGTTATCAACAGATCTTCTGGATCTCAGATACTGAAAAAAAAAATCGAAATTCACGTAGCTGGTAACTTCCATTAGATAGTAGTTGAGTTTTTATTTTGATTCTTAATTTGATTCATATAAGCCGGCTAAGAAATCAAGGCCAGTGCTTTTTTAAGAGCACATCCGATTTTTACAGACTATCGGATGTTGTCACTTTCCAGGCCGCCCAAAATAATTAGGGATCTTGAACCATTAAACTGAGATAATAGAGAGGAAAAGTCGTCACGTTCATTTTTGAATGACAACAAACCTATAAAGTCAATTAAAAGTGTATTGGCATTATTTCAAACTTCACCGATCTTATTCAGTTTCAATTAATTTGGCAAATCTTGGCGACGTTTTCTTTGGGACCGTATCTATCGTTATCTAAGTTTAGAAAAAGAAAGCGACAATTTTTGTGTTGTGTTCTGACCTACTCCATAAGGCGGGCTCGTGAAGTTAGGAAGTTTCATGTGGTGCAACGACGGCAGAGAAATGTGCAAAATAGCGTGGTGCACGTGCAAAGTGAGCGTGGTGCACATGCAAAGCTGTTGTTTGTTAATATTAACATATCATTTTTTGCCGTTCTCCTTCCCATCGCCGTCGTCATTGGTTTTGTTGTCATCCAGAAATAGTGCTGCCATGGTAACGCGACGTCACTTGTCCTCCCTTTGAACTTCCGTTTTTTTTGGTCTTCCTTGCTTCATCCGCACTCATTCGTATGCGTGTCTCGTTCGGTTACTAAAATAGTATCTTACTTCGTGTCTAATTTGAAAACTTTTTAAAATGCGAATCAAAATTGCTAGAAAAAAGAAAATAGCACGAACTTGTTGGAGCAAAACTTTGACCTCTCATTCAATGCAAAGAAAAAGGACAAACAAGCGCTCACTTATCAAATTTGCATTTCATTTTCTATATAAACGATTTGTGGTAGCGTCGATTTTTCATTCCTCGACTGCTCATATCCAGTTGCACTTCAACTAGGCTTTGTCCTAACTCACTGCAATACCCAGGTAAGGTGAGGTGATGAGACAAAAATATTATATCCTACGATTTCCGACACATTGATTATTAACTCGCCTTGCATCACTACCGTTTCATGTTTGGCGGAAAATACGGCAGAGTAGCTTCCATTATTTGTAAAAGAATGAAGCGTCCTCTCAAGGTATTAGGGACCTTGAGATCCGACGACGCCGACAGCAACGAGGACGTCAAAAAAGCAATAGGTTTAATAACCAAAACAACAATTTTGCACGTGCATCACGCTTTTTTGTACATTTCTTTGCAGTCACTGCACGACTACGACGTAGTCAGGGGCACCCAACGTCAATCTTCGGAAAATATCTGTTCGGAAGACGATTTGAGATCTAGAATTTTCGGAACATTTTTGTAAAATTTCTTGCTTGCCTACATCTCCTAGGCTTTTCAAACATCTAAAAAGTGGCATAATTGCCCATTTTTAACGGATTTTTACTCTAAAAAGGTCACCTAGAATTTTCGGGAGCCTTTTTTCTTGCTGAAATTTTCGAAAAGGTAAGTTTTGATCCCTATAATTTTCGGATCACTAGACTTTCAGCTAGGAAATCCGAACAGATGAAAAATTTTTAGAGGATAAAAATATGCTTACATCTACCGTTTAAATACTAAAATACATTTAACAATGCCATGTTTAAGTGGTTTTGTACAATATTCTCGTTGGGTGCCCCTGCATAGTTGCAGCCGGCCCACGCACTCGTCTAAACCATATGGAAGGTTTAGAGCGTCTGCGACACAGGCTACTACGACGTGAAAATGCCTAATTTCAATCTTTACAGAGGAAGTACACAAGCGACGACGAAATTTCCTCTCTATTTCTGAACTTGGATATGGTTCTCAGGAATTCAATTTTAGGAGTGTTCACCTACATTTGACAAAGTTAGTGACTTGGAGTAATCGCAATGAAGATTGAAAGAACGCGAATTCAGTTTTTCAGTCGCCGTCCTCGGATCTTAAGGTTCCTATTATTCGCCATGGAACTTGAGGCATGAATTACTTGTGAATGACAAAAGAACAGTCTAGCTTCCTGCCCAACAAATATGTCTCCCAAGCATTATACAAAACGATACAAACACACAAAAAAAATGAACATTGAAAAACTGTTAGGGTAACTGAGAAGTTTTCCAAAACGACAATTGCAATCCGTTTCAATCTTCCAGTTTAAGTTTGTCCATCCATGCCTTCTATTTGCTGTGTTACATATACCTTCTTGTAATGTCTTGAACTGTTATTTTTACGTTTCACTCAGTTTTGTGGTAGTTGCTATTTGAATTTTTTTGCGAATTTCTAACTTTGCAATATCTTGACAGAGACGAAACATTTCTTTAGAAAAAAGGGCTTTTAAATTGTTAGGATCTTTGTTTTTACCTCAAAATGAAATACTCAGACGATTTTTTGGTGAAAAACGGTGACGAGATAATTCTTATCTCCAGGCCCGCCTCTTGAAAATGTTGGCTACAATCGGTGACAAAATTGCTGAGACTTTGTACTCAAATAGGGTAACTTCAGAGGACAAAAGAATATCGACACCCCTCCCCTGTCCCCTCCATTTAAAGTTGGGGTGTTTGTTGTTTTCTATAGGTAGCTCGAACGGCAGCACAACATTGCATGGAGGGAGTGGGGGATGAAAGGCTAAATTTTTCCCTTCTGAAGTCAGAAAAACGTCAAAAAGCCCCCTTAGAGCGAAGTGTCGATCTCAACTCATTTTGTCGCCGATTGAGTTCAATTGAAAAACATTATGCCAAAAGTCTGGTGAACTAAGTAAGGAGCCATCTGAAGTCAATCTTTACCCCGGCTACCTAGAAGTGGGATAATTCTTCGAGCGTTTGTATACGTTTCGCCAAAGATTATCAATTTTTTTTTTCAAAAAAAATAGACCTACATATTTGCTGCTTAAATTAGTAAAAAAAAGTTCTAAAGGGAATACCTTAATTTGGTTGAAGGGAGTTAAAGCTGCTTCGTGGCTTGCCACAAACACAGCAACTGTTGTAGTAATGTTTCCTTTGACAAAAAACTTGTAAGTGTTTCACCGCCCGGACGTTGTAAAACATTGCTATGCATTATAAGGTTCTTTTAACACTTTGGGGATTGTTTCCGCCAATTAAGCCTCCGACCATGATTTTTGGTAACATTCTGTTTTTTGGTCCTCGGTTTAAACAGCTTGAAATCTTCTTCGCATTCCGAGTTCACCATGATAGGAACCACACAGGAAAAGTTGAGGGAGCAAATCTGCAGTGATAAACAGAGAAGCATCAGTAAAATCACCATTGTGGGTGTAGGACAAGTAGGAACAGCGTGTGCGTACAGTATTATGCAGCAGGTAATGCTATTAGACAGGTAAATTTAAGCATCACGTTTAGGTCAAAAGGCAAACGCGAATTTGTACCACGTGATCAAGTTTCCTCTTTGTTTGTCGTTTACTAATGTTCATTATTTCTACGCCTAAATTGTAAGGTGGGAAACAAAACTGGCTACAAAAAAGAAAGACAAATGGAAAAAAGTAGGCGAGAAAGAACGATCGAAATAGATTCGCAAAAAAAATAAAGTCCAAATCTTCGTCCAACGTTCTGAAAAGAATCACACAAACAAGAACGAAAGGCGCCCCAGCGTTTGAAAATTAAGGTAATGTTCTTCATTTTGATTTCTAGGATATATGCCAAGAACTTGCTTTAATTGGAAGACGCCAAGAGATTCTTAAGGGAGAAATGATGGACTTACAGCACGGTTTGCCGTTTGTGGAGGAAACTTCCATCCGTGCTAGTACTGGTAAATCAGCCTGATAGTCTGAAAAAGGGAAAAGCTCGAAAATACAGACGTTTTAAACACATGCTACTGGAAAACTTGTCCAATATAAACCCTTTTCAAACGTGTTAAAAAAAACAGAGTTTCTCGTTTCAAATTTATCTAAAAAGAAAAAGAGCAGTTGAAAATTTCGTCTTGGGAAGAAAAACGTCCTAAAATCATAATAAAAGAAAAATTGAAGTCAGGAGCGATTACTACATTGGAACAAGACTGCAACATCTTGCAATTTTCAGATAATCCTTTAATTCTTAGCATAAAATAGTGAGGGGCTCAAAACAAGTAATACTGTGTGTATCATGAAGACTATTTTGGTTCCAGTCGGCGCCAAAGAGTAATGAGAGTTCTCCTTTATTTTTGTAGACTATGCTGTCAGTGCCAACTCAAACCTGTGCATAGTGACAGCGGGCGAACGTATGAGAGAGGGTGAGAGCAGAAGAGATCTGCTGCTAAGAAACTTTGAGATTTTCAAAGGTAGATGCCTTCATGTTAAAAGCTAACATACAGTAATTCAACAAATAACTTATAATCTTTTACGATGTCTTTTCATAATGTGAAGCAAACAATCACTTCCCGGGCCTTTTGTTAAGTCGAAGGCTTCTCTGCAGAAAATTCCCGCGTGGCTGAGAAGGCTCAGAACTCAATACGTGATGGTCAAGAATAGTCAAATTCTTAACACACTGAGTGAGTGTGGTTTATCTATTAAACCCATGAAAAATCCTTTTCTAGAGTTTGAGTTCTCATTTGGACTTCAAATCCTTCTTAGGGCCGGTATTAAATTATGTTACAGCGTATTGCACAAGGGTGGAAACGTTCGATCACACCGTAGGCCTGTAATTGCACATACACATTCCGGACCTATAACTGTATTGCCGCACAGATTGAAAGATTACGTATGTGCTCGCCGCCATGATGAAATGAAACTCTGTGTTTAGTTTGCCTCAGTAAAGTATACAAACGGTTTAAAGTATACAATAGGCATGCGCAGATTTAACAAAGACCACGTGACTTAACCACGTGACGACAGCGAGAACGGCGTGAAGATCTCCATTTATCGTGATTTCAGCAGATCATTCTCTTCTAGCCTTGAAACAAAGAAATGGAAATATAGTAAAAATAATTTGGTGTTTGAAATAAATTTACATGTAATTTTAAAACGTTTATAATGGGTAAAGTCGTCTATTTTACAGATATCATTCCAAAGTTGGTAAAGCACAGTCCCAATACCGTATTGCTGATTGTTTCTAACCCAGGTAAGAAAAAACAGCTAAAGATCTACAAAGTGCTTACTGTGATCAGGAAACCTTAAACAGTTCTTAACAAAACTAGAAAGCTCCAAGCTTTTTTTGAAAAACTTGAGGATATCGTAAACACGAAAACGGACAACGGCTTGTTGAGCCAGTTTCCACCAAGAAGACTACGTTTCCTATGATGCGAGCCATGTTCGACCGGTTCAAAATTCGTACGTTTAAGTGTTCGGTTCACACTGGAGTCACCTTAGCACTAGGAAGATTTAAACGCCTAGCAGTTCAAAGTTCCCTGTGAATAGAGTGAACGTAATTGAAGGGTCCCGGGTGAACAAAGGGTCAGCTAAATTTTTCAGCCGCTCGAAAGTTTATTTGGTACCCGTGTGAATGTAACCTAAGATTGCTTACGACGTGGCACTGAATGTATAGAGTGTTTTCACATGACGTCACGGCGGCCATGTTGGGAATTTAACACTTTCTCATGTAAACGCTTTCTTTTGTTCCAATACATTTGCATAGACGCTGGCCACGTGAGTGAAAACGCTCTATAAAACACCCACGACTAATGCCACTCCCGCATTCACTAGTATAGCAATATCTGTTTTTTCGTTATGTTTCAGTTGAGGTCTTGACGTACGTGGCGTGGAAAATCAGCGGTCTTCCAGCTGATCGTGTGATAGGAAGTGGAACCAATCTGGACACAGCTCGGTTTCATTTTTTGATCGGCGAAAAGCTAAACATCCCACCAAACAGTGTGGATGGCTGGATCATCGGAGAACATGGCGACTCTAGTGGTGCGTAAAGGATAAATCGCAAGTCACTCCCTCCTACCGTTTTTAACACGGTTACGACATCCTTCCCCACCCCGCCGTTAACCACAACACCCACAGACTAGTCCCAGCACTACCTTTACCGTAATCTTTCTTGAACTTGAGTGAACATCAAAGATCCACCATAGGCTTCTTCTACGTCATAATACGAGCAGTCTCTCATTGCTCTCGGGGAGAATAGATCGCAGTAGATATGCGAACCAAATACTAGAACGCCGGTGGAAATTGCCTCCATAAAATAAAAGAGAGTTAACTCGCGTAATCGCATTTTGGCGCTCTGATAAAAAAAAGATCAGCTTGTCAACGTTTCTCGCGGGTGTCAAATTTCACCATCGCTCGTATATTTTTTTCTTTCCAAAAAATGAAGCACTACATATACACTAACTAGATGTAAGATCGCTCAATCGCTCAATCTGCAAAGTACCCTAGTTTGAGTGTTCGACCCATGTTTTCGATTTGTTTCACAAATGAAACGAAACATCGAGTTTTTCACTCCTTCTTTTACCATAAATTTGCATAATTTTACTTTTTCACTCGCCCCCGGTGTCTCTGAGGAAAGAAAGGCGACTGCTCTTGTGTCCGTTTTCGATTTACAAAATCGCGATTCAGGGGAATTCCCTTACAAAATAATTTCTTTGCTGCTGTCTTTATACAGTGCCTATTTGGAGTGGAGTGAATATTGACGGCGTGATGCTCAAGGATCTCAACCCACAGACAGGCACAGAATCGGACCATGAAAACTNTTCGATTTACAAAATCGCGATTCAGGGGAATTCCCTTACAAAATAATTTCTTTGCTGCTGTCTTTATACAGTGCCTATTTGGAGTGGAGTGAATATTGACGGCGTGATGCTCAAGGATCTCAACCCACAGATAGGCACAGAATCGGACCGTGAAAACTGGAACGAGATTCACAAGAAAGTTATTATGAGGTACAGTCGTAGAATTCGTTCGCGTTCACGGACGCGCGCCTTAATTTCCCTTCAAATGCCCGCGACGAGTACCGCGAACCATTGCCTTTCGTTATAGTACAAAACAGAAGCAGATAACCTATATGCTTCTGTACAAAACTAATGAATTGTAGCTTGCGTGGATGCGCCTCGGAGGATTGAGTTCCTCGCGCGCCTTTAAATAATTCCTTCTTCAAACGAGGTTTCTTGTCAGCAAAGGAGACTAAACTCAGAGGGCCGATTATTTAATGGAAGACAAACTGAGACATCTTCCACAATGAACATCCTTTGTTTACTAGGATATTCAAAATAAAAAATTATTAACTTGGAACACGGATGGTTGTACATGGGACAAATTCCCTTTAAACAACTGATCCAAAGACTTTATTCAGTTAATCTTTCCACAGCATTTCAGTTTTGTCTGATGGCGCGAAAGGACACCTCATTTGCATGTGTTCACGTGAACATTTGAAAATAAACTCCATAGTCCATGTTCGATTGTTAAAGCTGACCTTTTTTCCTATTTAGCGCATATGAAGTGATTAAACTCAAGGGCTACACCTCCTGGGCAGTTGGTCTCAGTGTCGCTAACATTAGCAAGGCGTTACTAGGAAATATGGCGAACGTCCAGGCCGTCTCCACCATCGCAAAGGTAACTGACTTTCCATGCTGACTTTCAAAACCTTTCTTTCTTTTTCTCAAAACAAAAGTTAGCACGCTTATTTCCGTTGAAGGAGATAAAGTCCTCTCCCGATCGCTAAATGATAAAATTCCTAAGATTTGATGCCTTGGGTCAGCATTCATCTATAAATGATAACCGATAACTTGTTTTCGCCACAACGAAATTCTTGCTAAAACTCGTAGTAGACTGGCGACGGCTACCACATTTTCCCGCCAAAATGACGTTAGTTCGCGCGCGTGCCCAATTTTTTTCCAACCTCGTTTTCTACACGAGACAAGTGTACATTGGAGCTTTACGTTTCTCATCATACTTTTACTGCTGCTTTTGCTTTTGAAGCGACGAATCATTCGAGATTCGGGCATTAACTTTTAATTACATCAGTACATTTATTTTTTACAACATTCCTTTACAAAAGCTGTCACCGTCAGCGTGGACAATTCTTCCCTAATGTCAAAGATACGTAATTTGATTTAGTCCTCATGTCTATGATACGGCTCTGAATTGCAGCCTCCAAGCTGCCTCTTTTTTGCCGTTCCATGATAGTATCGAAATAGCCTGAGATCGTTCTCGTCCCCAGAGCGCGGCCGTCGTTTCGTTTGGTCACGTGGCCGAGATTTATAAAGTGGATGTATGTAAAGGCATTGCTCACTAACCATCCTATTTTTTTTAGGGATTTTACGGGATCAAGGAAGAGGTTTTCTTGAGTTTACCCTGCGTTCTTGGCACCCATGGGGTAAAGTCCGTCGTGAGCCAGCAGCTAGATGAAAACGAGGTTAACCAAATACAGGGATGCGCGTGCATCATGCATGAGCTGCAGCAATCTTTGGTGTTTTAATTGAGTTCGAGATAAAACAGGAAAAACGACAATAAGCACATGCACGACTTTTTTCTTGCCGAGGAACAAGAAATTGAAATAGGTTTATTTCGTTTTCATTCCACGTTTTCTCGGCCATATGTACTGGAAGATCTTAGCAAAAATCCTTTGGTTTTAGAAAGACGGCTCCTACAAGGGGCTAGGACTAGATAATCATCTGGGGCAATCTTTTGTTTTTTGTAGACAAATTACGTCGGAATAAATCAATTAGACGTTGGTCAGTTGATATAAGATCAAAATGATAGAAATGTGGGAAATGATATGGCTGCGCACCGTCAAGTCTACAAACAAAATAAACAATGAAGAAGTCCGAATGGCTTCATAACAATCCCACTCTATTAAATATATAAATTTTGTAGAATTCAAGCAGGAGATCCTCAGATATGAAGCTTTTCCACAGTAGATTTACAACTTATATTTCCCTTTGCATGCATAATGTTGTATATAATTTATAAACAATATTGGAATTGTAATATAGCATATTTTATTTTTTTGAAACTTATTTTCCCGAATACATTAGCTCTACATGCACAGCTACTCTGTAAATTTCGAGAATAACTAAAGTATATGTATGTATGTATGTATGTATAGTGAAGCTGATCAAACCCTTAGATAATATTAATAATTAGCTAGTATCAATTTTATGAGAAAAGCTGTAAATTAATAAGGATGATGAGGATTTAAATGTGAAAATCTGTTTATACAAATGTAGAGAATGTTTAATGCTTTATCTGTTGACCAGCCTGCAAAACTCTGACAAATGGTAGAATAGAAAACATGCAAACAGCAACTTAACTCTAAGAAAAAATGCTGAGAAACTTTTAAAACAAGACAATATTAAGAGATAAATATGGTACAAATAATTATTATCAGACTATAAAGCATGTACCCTCACCTAACATTTTCCTCTGGATTTAAGGAAATCAAGCAGTTTTGTTTACATACTACATGACTAAAGCAAAGAATATTTGGTATGCAAGTTGAAGCGAACGCAGAGGTAGAAATTCCCTCACAGAAGAGACTTGTGATCAACAACTCAGCACCAATCATTAAAGGAACTGCAATTAGCGACATTAGAGGATTCATTTAGAAATTACGATTATTGTCAATACAGGATAATTTTATTAGTATAGGTAATGGCATAATTTGTAGTGATAGTTGGCATAAATACCACGAATGACTGAAAAAACTGTTATACGAAATTTCAAGAGCTGTTAGAAGAGTGAAATTTGAGACAGTTTTGAAATATCACAAGTGGTATTTATGCCAAATATCAACACAAATCATGCTATTATTTGTTTATATACTACTACCCACAAAACGTTTGTAATTTTCAAATGTAAGTATTTCAAATTAAGCTGAAATACCACTGCTCTAAGCCAATCAAATTGCAGAAATTTCTCATGTAGTAGTATAACAAGCTTAATTAAGCTCAGAAATGGGCTTAACACTTTTGTTTTGCAAATCCAATCCAAATGTCAATTTGTAATCGAATCAGTTTTTATTTAAATCTTAAGCCAGAAGCATAATTTCGTTCGATACACATGTTCTTTGAAACCTAAGTTATACAAAGGGAAAACGCAAACGTGTAAAAGAAGAAGAGCTTTAAAATAATTAATATTTTGTTCTCCTATATCATTTTGAAACATCGTCCATGAGAACGCATTAATTTGCCATAAAAAAATTCCTCATCTGTCAAATCACGTTCTAATTCCTCTAGTTTCTCGATGTGACGAAGTTTCTTCCTGAATTTACGAAGTTCAACAACAATCTTCAGTAGCTCTTCGTCAGCCATTATCCAAACAGTGAAGGGAGAAGACTGGGGCGAGAGAGCTTCTCAATAAACTGGGGGAAGGGAGGGAGGGGTTGTACGATTATCACCAAGAGCAGTGAAACATCCATCCTTGGGGACCCGGGGGCAGATTGTGGGGCCAAAGGAAAGTCAAAACGGACTTTTCTTCGCGCCATTTTTTTCCGCTCGTTAAGACTTTCCCTTGCCCCCACAATCTTCTCCTGGGTCTCCGAGGATATGGAACATCATATCAAGGAAGTTAAAGAGCTTAACAGCCAGTTTATAAAACTGCAGAACAATATTAGAGTCTTCAGACAGGGACGCCCAACAACGGTTTCCTCCTAAATGCATTGAAAACACTTTTTAGGCAATCCAGAGTACTTTTAGATCTCTAGAATGCATTCTAAGTGGCGCTATAAAATTTGTATCTGTTCGGTCATCCCAGGGGAACTTGAGTCTTTTCGAAATTGCAAGGGCTTCAATATTATTTTCCTGAAAATTTTAGGTGGAATTTAACGTATTACGAAGGGGAGACTTATATTCTGATCCCTATTTCCATCACATTTTTGATATAGACTATTTTATGTTTCCTTTTCATAACGAAAAATAGCCTAACCTGGGGAGTACAATGTGAAAAATTAAACTTAGGGAATTTATTAGACGAGCTTCAAAAATTGCACAATCCATGAATGGAACGGTCATGTAGAAATAGCCGTCCTCAACAAATAGAAAATTCTAGGCAATATTTGCTTCTCCGAACAGATATTTTACAGAAAACAGTCGTTGGGTGTCCCTGGTCAGAGAGGGTAGAATAGAAGCGACATCGTAACGCATATTGAAAATACGATTTACGACCTTCTTTGACTCCTTAGAAAACACGGCTTGACAAAAAAAGGAGCAAAAACCGAACAAAGCCTCTCTCTATCATGTGGTTCAGATGTGCCTCCGGAAATTTACTTATTTATCAGAAACATGGCTCTCTAACCAGGGGCACCCAAAGAAAATTTTTGGAAAATATCCGTATCTGTTCGGAAGACGATTTGAGATCTAGAATTTCCGGAACATTTATTGTAAAATTTCTTACTTGCCTGCCTCTCCTAGGATTTTCGAACATCTAAAAAATGGTATAATTGCCCATTTTTAACGGAGTTTTACCCTAACAAGGTCACCTGGAGTTTTCGGGAGCCTTTTTTCCGGTTGAAATTTTCGAACTGAAGGTAAGTTTTGATCCCTATAATTTTAGCATCATTAGACTTTCAGCTAAGAAATGCGAACAGATGAAAAATTTTTAGGGGATAAAAATATGCCTATATCTACCGTTTAAATACTAAAATACGTTCAACAATGCTATGTTTAAGTGGTTTTGAACTATGTTCTCGTTGGTTGCCCCTGTCTACCTTCCTATATGCATGACGTATTAAACTGTTCCTACAAATATGACTATAAAAAACTCTTTACGTGGGCAGAACAGCCCAGCCGGGTCAAAGTACAGGTCGAGGAACATTTAGTATTTTAACATGAGCAATATCAGGAAAAATGATTACCATGAGAAATGCACTAAATGGTTGACTGAACTGTAACTGCATAAACATGGATATCTATTCCTCTTCCCGGTGAGCGAACTCTACTCAATAATCCAGCTAAAAGGACAATATCAGATCGGTAGCTGACATCTTTTTAAATCTTTTAAAAGTGTCGAGTATATGAGCAGTGGAAACGTTTTGGATACTATCAGGGACTATGACGATTAACATTTGCAGTTCACGTTTCAAAATTGAGAAACTAGTACAAACATATATTACACTTAAGATTTCAAGAGATCTAATAAATAAAACAGGCTCTGTACAAACAAAACGAAATGAGATATACACTTGAACTCCTTATGAATTTTTTTTAACAAGTTAAAAGTGGACGCTTAGTCTAGAACATTTGTTTGTCAAGTCACGTATTTCAGTCGTAAAAATCGACAAATTTGTGGGCGGCAATCTTTATGATCATTTGCGGTGTGTGCAAGTACAATTACAATTTTCCTGGTTCATTCGCTCGGTAGCTTCGAAACAATGAGAAAAGACCATTTCAGTGATTAGAGGTGTACGTGTCCACTTAATCCATGACTTAATAGAGTCCACTTGAAATCGAGTCTGCTTGACATGAAGTCAAAACATCTTGAAAACTTGGATTTAAGGTTTACATCTCCCAAAAATAAGAACGATCATTAATAGCTGGGCCTCAGCTAAAAATTAAGCGTTGACTCCCAAAAGTTTGAAGCGAGCTGTTGGGTTAATTCTAGACCAAACTGGAATTGATTTTGGATCTCGTTACAGAATGTTATCTAAAGGTTGCGAAAGACAAGACACATATTCGCTATTTTCATCATAGCGAATTTTAGAACAAGTATAAAGCCGTTGAAGATTCAAGATTCTAAGGTGGAAGAAAAAGTAGATAACTTCCTAAAGCACATTCCGAGGCCCCCGAAGGTTTTTCGGTATCAAGGGGTCCTTACGGTTCGTTCCTTGAAAACGGGGCATCTTTACTACAATGGTTATTATTGTGTAAGAGCTTCTTTTCTGGTCAAATCCTTTCAATCCCTGAAAGAAATTTAGGTTTCTGGGGAACTGCCGACCTTCATCTCCCCTATGCCAACATAAACACCAATTTCTCACAGTAGGGCAAAATGTCACATTAGAGGAGGAAGATTCCCAGAAGCTTAGATTGATTTTTCAAAAAAGTGGCCATTGCAAAAGTAAGTTTCTACTCTGAGTTGCANCGAAAGACAAGACACATATTCGCTATTTTCATCATAGCGAATTTTAGAACAAGTATAAAGCCGTTGAAGATTCAAGATTCTAAGGTGGAAGAAAAAGTAGATAACTTCCTAAAGCACATTCCGAGGCCCCCGAAGGTTTTTCGGTATCAAGGGGTCCTTACGGTTCGTTCCTTGAAAACGGCGCATCTTTACTACAATGGTTATTATTGTGTAAGAGCTTCTTTTCTGGTCAAATCCTTTCAATCCCTGAAAGAAATTTAGGTTTCTGGGGAACTGCCGACCTTCATCTCCCCTATGCCAACATAAACACCAATTTCTCACAGTAGGGCAAAATGTCACATTAGAGGAGGAAGATTCCCAGAAGCTTAGATTGATTTTTCAAAAAAGTGGCCATTGCAAAAG